TATATATGTATATGTATATATATGTATATATATGTATATGTATATGTATATATATATATGTATATATATGTATATCTTATATATTATTATATTATAAATTATATAAAAGGTAAATAACAAAAAGGAAAGCTGCAGTGGTGTATTTTTCAGAATGGTGGGTTTATTCTTATGATGGAGACACTCATGAGTTATGTTGCTCTCTGACCAATCAGTGACCTGCAGTCTGCTGACATCAAACTTTCAGTTCGACTCAGCTTGCTTGAAACTTCTAACTTTCTCTGGGCCAAGGATTTCCTAAGTGCCAAACTGGAATTGGGTGACATCACCCAATGTAAAGAGTAAAGCTGTGTCATGCAGACCTAAGTAGGGCTGAGACAGTAGCATGCTGAGGACCTACTTCTTCAATGGACATTGGTTAGGTATAGAGACGCAAGAAAATATGATAAGAAAACACAAAACCTCCTGAAACTACCGGTAGCATTTGTAACCATAAGACAAATTCATTTTAACAAATGGGGTTGCTGTGGCCGAGTGGTTAGAGCAGTCGTCTTCCAGTGTGCCTGTAGCTGCTTTGTTGGTTGGGAGGTTTTGAAACCATCTCTGCTGGTAAAATTTCCAGCCACACCTGGCAGGTAAAATTAAAAACAGTTGTGCTAATTCAAAATCAATGACTTAGGATAGAGAATAAAACTCTGTGGAGATATCCTTGCCTTTCAACATTGTACACAATGTACAAAATATATTAACCAGCCTACAAAAAGGGCGTGAACTGTGGTGGCAACATATTATTTTCCAGCGGCAGATAATACTCAGTGCATCCCCTCGAGCTGTCACTGTGCTTGCAAACAGCCTTGAACTAATAACCATCTGAAACTCACATTAGTGTTAGAGTTTATGCAATAGCATTTACATAAAACACAATAAAACGTTTGAAACCCACTTTGGTTTTGGCCACGTTTGGACTAGCCATTAGCCTGTCAAGCAGATCAGAATTAAACTTTATTTTTTAAAACTGAGGCCATTTAAAGAGCTATCTACAACAGGTAAGATAATTATTTTTCAGAACTTTTCCACAAAAGCCTGTTTTAAAAGATCTGAATTACCGGTATAGATTTAATATTCATCTTAGAAAAAGACAGTCAGGATGTGATGAGCTGCTTAGTTTGGGAAGTGAAACAACTCTGAGCCTTAAATGTTCTTCATTAGCAGATATTCTTTTAGGAAGAATATCTTTTAGGAAGAATATCTGCTAATGAAGAACAATTAACATTCAATCCACTTCTAAAATTCTTATATTTGTATGTTTTATAAACATCCTATCATTCAATGTTTAACCTGCTATGTAAAAATTAAATAATATATCTGAATGTGGTCTAAATAATCTATGACGTTTATGTTTCATGTTTAATTTCACAGCTTTGGGCAGGTCTACGGTTCACTGTGCCACGACTCAAGGACACACACAGAACTGTCCAGTTTGATGTCCAGATTCGCAGGTATAATTTAGGCATGCCAAACAGCAGAAACAGCTTGTGTGATATTTACTGAATCTAATTCAAATTAATCTCAACTTCTCTCAGCTGGCCTCAGTTTATCATGATTGCTTTCTTTTCTTCTCTGTTTCCACAGCAAAAATGAAAATAATTCTCATAGTGAAGTTGTGTCCTACAAGCTGGAGGTGGTTGTTCAGGCGGACGTCATCCTTCAGGGGTAAGATTAGGATTCATTATTTTGAACTTGTGGGACTTCATTAGGTCTCTGTACAGATGTTCTCACAGCCTTCCTTCCCTTTTTAAAGTGTGTCTCGGCCAGATAAGGTCTTCTTTCCACCGGCCAACTGGAAAGTGCCCAAAACCTATACAGTGGAACAGGATGTGGGGCCTGCTGTGGAGCACATTTATGAGGTAATCAACCACACTGCTATCTGTGCACACTCATCAGGGCAGAGCAGACTGAGTTTGAGCCTCTCCTGTACACACAAAAAAGAACACAAAACGTTTTAGAGCGTCAAGAAGAAAAAAGAAACCCCAAATGAAAATGAACTCCAGATAATAGTGATGTGTGGGAGGAACTCAGTGGTAGCATCACAGCTTCTGCTATAAATAAATAAATGATGAACACTTCTGGTTATGTTAAACGAGTGGTGGGCAGCTTTTTCCCTTTAAAGGGCCACATACAGAACTGGGCCTGCTACAGAGGGCCCGATCAACAGGCTAAACTAAGTTCTGCAAAATATAAATTTTATAAGTAGCCATAACTATAATGTTCATTATCTGACAAGAGTTGAAATTGGTAGTGGACAGTAAAAACAAGTTATACAAAGAATTAACATTTTCTATATTTAATAATATTTATTAATAATAATGAACTTTCACAAATTGATTGTCAAATAATTGTGTACGTCTTTGGAGGATTTAAAAAAAAAACAGCATTGAACTAAATGTGAAATCGTTATTTCTGTTTCTTTTTTCTCCAATGAAAAATCATCTGTGCATGTCTTTTCTTGTTTCTCCATCTGTTGACTCTGATGGTGCTGGTGTAGTTTACAATGCTTAAAAACAGCATTCTGTTTTTCATGAACTAAGCCCACTGAAAATAAACAGAATTCAATATATTGTTGCAAACTCTGCATTCTTTATCAGTTGTGGGTTTTTTATTTTGTATTTGTTTGTTTCTGTGAATCACAAGCTCCAACAGTGGAGGGACTGCTCCTAGCACGTAATCAGGAGACTGCTGAAGTAAACTTCCGCTTGCCTTCAAAGTAAAAGCACAGTAAAAGCTGGCTTCAAAATAACAGCAGTCCTGGGTGAGCCATAAGTTGCCCATCTGAGAATTAAAATAGGTATTTTCATTTTTTTTCAGCTTGTAAACAACGGCCCAAGCCAAATCAGCAACACCTTACTGGAGCTGCGCTGCCCTCTCCGTGTCCAGGGACGCACTCTCCTTTACCCTTTGGAGTTCTCCACCGAAGGCTCCATCAACTGCACTGTGGACAAAAACATGAACCACCTGAAACTCAGGGTGAGAATCTCTCATGCACACCTCTCGGGGTCTGTTTAGGCTAAATTAGAGAAGTTCCTCCTCCCTTATTCCTTGTGTTTTGCCCACATCCACCTCCTTCCAGCTTCCCAGCCCCACCCGAAACGCTTACCCCACCGCTGCTTTGAACTCAAAGCTCATCCCTGTTTTCAGCACAGCCTGAGGAACCACCTCAAGCAGCTCCATAATCACCCATCTTCAATATGCAGCAACACCCCCTTTACACCAAGAAGCCTTTATGGTTCTGTGGGCCAAAGCATTTCCATACGGTTGTTTTTGTTTACATGTGACAGGCGTTGAGCACGATTGCAAGTAGTCATTTGTTTTAGCTGTGACCTAATGCTGCACACTGAATTGCCACAAAAACCCTTAATTGTAAAGCTCTCTTGCTACTGATTAATGAGAAGAAACCTCAGGTCTATGGGCACAAATTCCAGTCATATATATTTTGTGCTTGTAAATCAAGCACAAGAGAATGTATGAGAATTATCTTTGTGCATCCATAGATAAGAATTCATGCGTTTATAAAAAACATTTACGTCTGTAAAAATAATTACACAAGTTAATTTGTATTACTTGTTCTATTTTTCAAGCACAAAATGTATAAGACAGGAATTGGTTCCCATAGAGGTCATCTAACATCAGGGTTTGTAATGGCAGAGAGAGTGTAGTTTGTACCATATTTTTTGTCCCATAAGTCACAGTTTTTTGCATAATTTACATGTCCTAAGACTTCTAGGCTGAAGCAACATATTTATGAAATTTTTTCCCATATTTATAAACCATTTTTTGGCTGAGATATGACTGTTTTCATTCATTCTAACTAAACAACAACAAAAAATGAGCAGTGCCACTTTCAGCCACATGATGGCAGCAGAGTAATAATAGTATTATGGCATGCTGTTGTATCATGTAATAGGTAAACATGGTTATAATGACAAAGTCAAAAAAGTTCAAGACAAAAACAACTGGACTTTATTTATTGTACTTTATACTTTCTTGTTTGTTTTTTTTCTTAAACTTTTTGGAATTTACTATGTCCTCGTTGACTGAGAATCTTCATCAGCTATTAATGACTCAATCGGCCTGCCATACTCTCTCCACCTTCATTCTGCTTGTTGCTTGGAACTGTCAAAACAGCTGCACCGCCCCAGCGAAATGCAGCTAATTTGACCATTAAAGTGCATTTATTAAGCAAATGTTAGACTGAGACACATCTATGGTATAATTTCAAGCAAACAAATAATTATTTAGGTGCTTTTCTTGTTAAATTTAGGAGAAACAAGCCACATTCCTCCTCGTTTTTTTTCTCCCTCTGCGTGTTCACTGAGCACCGAGGCAGCAAAACTATTTTTTGAAATACAGCTGATTTGACCATCAAAGTGCATTTATTAAGCAAACGTTAGATTGATACACACATTTAATATAATTTTGAGCAAACAAATAATTGTTTTTAAGTGTTAAATTTTTGTTAAAGTCTTCCCGTGCATGCTCCCGCGGCCACCATTTGGCAGCCCATCAAATTTTGGCACAACACCGGCCCACATTTCCAGGTTGTCAGCGGTGGCACATAATAGATGCGACATACATGGCAAAGCAACATATTTATGGATTTTTCCACTTTATTAGACAAATATGGACTGATGCGACAAGTACGGCGGAAAATATGGTTTATGCTTTGTTCTTACGAGTGTCTGTATCCTTTAGCTGCAGCGAACGTCCACAGAGTCTCCTGTTCTGGCACTGAAGGCCCATGAGCACCATGTTGAGAGGAGGGACGTCCACAAGAACCAGCTCGCTCATTTGACTAACCTGGTAAGAGACTTTCCAAAGAAAATCCTCATCCACTCATAACTTGAAAAGGTTCTGGTGTGGTATCACTCAGATAAGACGGTTCAGCTGTAATGGGTGTCTGTAGACCTGTTTCTACCAAGCCCTGGGACTGGGTAATTAAATTATGATGTCATTTGAAAAGAGGGGTCAGAGGGCGCAGGGTGGTCTGCTGAGGGGATTAAGATGGAAGACTCTTATTATAAAAGTAAAGCAAAAGCAGAGAAGGAAAGAGACTTGGGTTGTGTTTTTGACTTTGGTGCACTGATATTTCACAGACTGCTTTCAGTTTGTGGCCTTGGTTGTTATTTAACCAAGCCCCCTCACATTGATCCTGCAAGCTGCTTATCTGTGTCCAGATAAAGTTGTGGATACCTTAGTCCACCAAAGAGGTATTTGTCTCCCACTGCTCTGTTCTGTTTGTTCATCTAACAAGTTTAGGAGGCTAGTACCAGTATATAAAATTCACTTTCCACTTTCACCCATGTCTGCACTTTTATTTAAGAGTTGTGTTGTGCATTGAACAGAAAAGATCAGTTCTAACTTCTCTGGTTCTCTGACGAAGGTGTAAAAATAAAAAAAATGTGCCTGGCCTGGAATACAAGCTGCGCACACAATAATAGGTTGTGATATTAAAAAACTGGATGCACACAACACTCTTACTAGTTGACTGGTTGCAAACATTTAAAATTTTGCCATTTTCTTGAAATTTACTCACTATTTCCTCGCTACCCAAATTTCTTTGTACTCCGGTGAAATGACAATAATGGTCTATTCTATTCTATTCTATTCTATTCTATTCTATTCTATTCTATTCTATTCTATTCTATTCTATTCTGAGTCATCAACTAATATCCAACAGTCACAGCCCAGTCAGATACCAGCTGTGTTCCAGTATGTTGATGTTGGCTTAGAGTTGGTGGTTACTGGTTCAATCTGACTGAGTTTGTGACCAAAACATGCCACAGGTGGCACGGTAGATCAGTTGGTGGAGCTGTCACCTCTCAGCAAGAACGTTACAGGATTAAATCCTGACCCAGGAACCTTTCTGGGTGGAGTTTACGGGTTCTCACCATGGGGTTTCTCTGAATACTCCAGTTTCCTCCCACAGACCAAAACCCTGCATGTTAGACTCTTAATTTTAAATTGTCCCTAGGTGAGAGTGACAGTGTGAATGCCTTGTTTGTCTCTGTGGTCTCGCACACTGACGGCTGGACATGGGTAGCATTAGTGACCTGTAAAGGAAGAAGTGGGTATAGTGTATTCAACTTGCTGCACAAATTTATGACTTACGTGATGTGTTAGTGCTATATAGAGGACAGGAAAAACACATGGAATTAAAATCAATTTAGAGAACACACATTAATTAGTGGGCAGCACGGTGTCGCAGTTGGTAGATCTGCTGCCTCTCAGTGAGAAGGTTGCATCGGTTCAAATCCCAGCCAGGGGCCTTTCTGGGTGGAGTTTCCATGTTCTCTCTGTGCAAGCATGGGTTTTCCCCGGGTACTCCAGTTTCCTCCCACAGACCAAAAACGTGCATGTTAGTCTGATTGGTAACTCTAAATAGTAAGTGGTTGTTTGTCTCATTTGTCCCTATGTGTCCCTGTGATGGACTGGAGACCTGTCCAAGGTGTCCCCCGCCGTTCACACAGTGACTGCTGGATATGGGCACCAGTGACCCCCATGACCCAAACAGGAAGAAGCGAGTAAAGATGGATGGATGGACACTAATTAGTCATCATTAGACACTGACTGGATAGTTTCTGGACTTTCAGTTGAAAAGTTGAACTACAGTCACGTTCTATGCTAGGAACTCAAAGAAATAGACAGATTTAATTTAGCAATGTCAATATTCATTCAAAGTAAGTGAGAGGTTAGAAAGTGTAAAAAAGACAAGTACAGCATTTATTACTGGTTTACAGTCTTGTGGCTGATCTTTAAAACTTCTCAATATATTCAAGAAGGACAAAAGACAATTTGCATCTATTTTTAGCAAAACTCTATTGTGAAACCATGGTGCCATGTTTCACAATAACAAAACAGGGCTGTAACAAATAATACATTTTCCAAATTTCTTTCCAATCAGTCGCCATCTTCATTAATTTACAGTCCATGTTTGGAACCAAAGCAAAGGGTTGTTTGATTATTTGCAATCAAGATCATCTGTAAAATACCATGTCAATTTTCCTGAAACTTTGAAATTATCAAAGGAAATGGCCCATTAAAATCTGGTCTGGTTCTGGCGATAAAGCATTGTGAAGGAAAACAAGTCTTTGCAAAGGGACGGTGCTTTCAAGGCTAAATTTAGAGTGCTGTTACAAAGTGTCAGCCTCTACAGGCCCCTTCCACACAGCAGCAGTGCCGTTGGGTCTGAATGTTGTTTTTATAAATTATGGGAACAACCTATACTTCACATTATTCCATCAAATAGGATATGTGAGATGTGGGTCTGAGGAATCTTTGGACCTCAGCTATTCGTGTAATTTTCTCAGACATATGTGGCCTCACTGACCAAATCGTTGCACAGATCCACCAGCAGGAAGCAGACGGATACGTTTCTCTTTCTGGCTCATTAGTTTTTGTCTGTCTAGGACCGGACCTAAAACAACTGGGTGGGTTTGCTCCTCTTCTCTTGTGTTTTTTCTACTTGATGTAATAAGTAAACTTATACTGTCCTGCAGGAAACCCAACAAAACCTCTCAGTCTCAGGGTGGTCTAGCTGCAGCAGCAGCTCCACAGGACAGAATGTGCATGTGTTAGAATGGTAAAAGCTGCATTACTGGGATTTAATTAGGATAGTGTATTCTACAGCCTTGAGAAAAATGGGCTGGTTTTAGTGGTTGGGCAATAATGTGGCAAGTGGTGCATGCTGCATTTTTACAGCCTCATGACATTCCTTCAGACTAATTCGAAGCAGGCGTGGAATTGGAAGTACAACATTGGTCTTTTTGTTACGTTTATGCAACCTGAAATATTAACACAACTGCTTTATTATATCTATTTGTTATGCCTTCTGAAATTTCATTTGCAGTAAGTTTATGTCATCCTAATTTAATTGTGTTTAGTTCTTATAAAACAATCTCTGTTTCCTTAGTCTTGCTCTAATGTGGAGTGCTGGATGCTGCAGTGTAACGTGGGTCTGCTGGAAAAGGGAACAACTGCCATCGTCAAAATGCGCTCCCGCATCTGGGCCGAGACCTTCACTGAGGTTAGCAGAACCTGGCTTTCCTGAGTTTTATACATTAGTTTACAGCAGCATGCACAGCATGGGTTCATTTCTTCCAGTTGGTGTTTGTGTATTTTCTCATGTCAGACTTTGGCAGGAACCAAAAAGTCATTTTTTTAAATGCATCCCCCCCAAAAAAAGAGAAAGAAAATGGGAGTTGCACACCAAATGCAAACAAAAGCAAGTAGCTTCTGTAATCAGTCCTACTTCTAAGTTCAGCTGACATTAACGATGACTCTAAATCAGCTGCCAGACTGCTCAGTTTCACACATCTGAGGCAAAATGTTGACTTTTCCACAGTGGTGGTGTACAGACTTTATGTTGGTGCAAAACTTGCTTATCTTATCCGAGCCAGAGACGGTTTGACCCACCTCCTGCAGATTGTGACATGGAGTATGTGTGATGTACTGGAAATTCATTATCTGGTGTTCTGAGCCCCTCACAGGACTAGAAACCTTAAGGTAGATTTATACTTCCACAAGACGTGAGACGACGGACCTCTCCTCACGTAGTTTCAAACGTCTGTCTCACGGAGTGCTAATAGTCAAGGAGAAGAGGCGGGGGATAAATCATCAGAATTCCTTCTACAGCACTCCCACTGTAGCGCACGTCACGTGCATGTTGTAATGCCCCTCAGCATGCAGTAAAAGGAAGCCACAGCCGACTGTCAACTCTTTAGAGTCTTTATTAACAAAAACGCCCAAGAAGACAGGCAGCAGGAGCTGCTGTCACAGCAGCAAGTCACATTGGACCCAGAACAAAGACACAGCTAGCTGATCTCATGCTCCCCCCCAGGAACCTGGAACATTAACACTTTAGAGCACAGATATTACAATTTAAACAACACTGATCGCAGGATAAAGTTTTATTTCACTCGTCAGTGTATCCGACAGTGAAAGAAAGGCCCGTGTTGATGGATGAGGAGGAGGAGGAAGATCTGGTATTGCTCTTGTTAATTGTTAAGCTCTCCTTGCTACTATAACAATCAGCATGTAGGAGCGAACCACTTTTAATGAAATGACAAGCAGTAGAAACATGTGCTGTTCCACATAAACACACCCACTAAGTTCTGATCAGTCCCACAATGCGCGCCACTTATCCTGAGACACAAGTGACTGGGGGCAATGTACAAGAACAGGGGGTCAGCGAGTGGGAAGAGACTGAAGCTACACAATTTTCTTCATGCAACAGTGCCAGGCAGAGAGACGCAAGAACAGAAGTATAAAAGGCCTGGCATAATCCATCCTCAGCCGAACAGTCGACTCGTGGTCATGTGGTTGCAGGACGTTTGTTTTTGCACACACCTTTCATGTCCACGAGACACAGACACAGAGCTCCTGGGAAACCCCTCCCGCTGCAGTATACGTCACCACGTGGGTTTCTTCCTGCCAGCGTCTCCTCTCCATCTCTGCATCTGCCGTTTGTCCACAAATCTGTCATGAAGAGAGCGCCACACTTTCCAGCAGACAGACTCCTCCATACACAATGTCTCCATCCAGGAGTTTTTGCCCATTTGACTAATTTAGTGTGTTTGAAGAGTTGTACAGCATTGACGAACATGACTACAAACTTCTGACCAATCACACAATACTTGGCACAGACGCCTGTGAGAAACAGTTCGGCCCAGGTCTTGTGTTGAGAAGGAGTGAAGCTGCTCTGAGAACAAAATGATGAAATGTTCATGTAACTAGAACAACGAGAGCCCATTTCTCCACGGATGGAGCATGCAGTGCCCTTTAGAGTCTTTAAGAGGCTTTAGGCTGCACCTGGTCTGTGTCTCCACCTGGTGCATATTTATGTCACTGCATGACATATTTCTTTTTTTTGTCTGTTTCTTCAGAAAGCTTACAAACAGTATGTGCTGGAGTGTCTGGCCAGATACAGTGTGAAAAAGATGCCATATGCAATTCTACCCAAACATTATCCGACTGGACACAAAAAGGTATTGAACAAGTTTATAATAGTAACTCTTTAAGCTGCTGTTTCCATCTGGTCCACTTGAAACTCGACTGTTCTTCTCTTCAGGTGGTGACTCCGGTGGTGTGGAACAAGCCCGACATCGAGAACTCAGTTCCTCTTTGGATCATCATCTTGGCCATCCTGGCTGGTTTACTGCTTCTGGCTCTCCTTATTTACGTTCTCTACAGGGTCAGTGGGAACTCTGCGTTTGACCTAAATAATGAAGGCGTCGCAGAGAAGATGATTAGATGAGGTCTTACTCCTGTTTTCTTTTCTTCTTCACAGTTTGGCTTCTTCAAGCGATCTGTACCTTACGGCACTGCCATGGAGAAAGCCCAACTTAAACCACAGGCTGCCTCTGAGGCCTAACAATCCCCCCCCCCCCCCCCCCCCCCCAATATCTGGCCGTTTGATTGCAATGGAGAAACATGATGGAACGTGATCAGAGAGCAGGTTGAGAGTTATGTGAAAGAGAGACTACTAGACCTCCGCTGTTCTGCACTAGACGGAAACAAAAACCCAAAGATCTCCAAACCGAATGAATGTTTTTTAATAATTTTTTTTTTAAATAATTTATCTTCTTTTGTTAGTTTGGGTTGTTGTCAAGTTGAATGTGTCTCCATGTTTAAAAACTAATTTTGGTCTGTAAAACAAACTGCACAGGTGACTATGAGCCTACTCTTGCAGCAGCACGTTTACTTTTACAGATGATTGTGGTGGAGCCGTCGGTAACACTCTGCCTTTCACTGGTGCTAACCATCCGATGCAGTCGCTGCCGTTCATAGGAATCGGCCATGTGTTGCTCGTGGCCTCTGGGAGTTGTGAATTCTGCTGCCTGATGAGGCCTGAAAGTTTCAGACGTTTCCTGAGCACACAAGATTAGTTTACTGTTTCAGACAAAAGGTTGGCTATCTGCAGGCAACAATATGTTTAATAGTCAAAACTGTTTAATAGTTTAAAATCAATAACTCCCGTCCTTCTAAGTTAAGCCCCAAGCTGTGTAGCCCAGTGCATGCTGGGATAGTCTCCTCCACCCTGCACCTCCAATCAAGAAAAGCGGGTATTATAAGCAGGCATGGATGGATGTCTCCTGAGCTGTTGATGAAACAATCACTTTCTGCCTCAAGACGGTGGAACGTGTGTTTTGCACTCGAAGGAAATCTACTGATATTTTTCCTAAAAGACGCCAAAGACTGACTGAGCTTCCTTTGAGTTCTGACTCTGACTCCTACTGAAGACTTTTAAGTCCTGTACGCTTGTTCTCAGTTTCCACGTTGTGCCGTTGACTGGGATGGGACTGGAACCACCACAGACCTGTGAAACCTCATGGAAGGCCTGGAGCGGTGTGGTGCTTCAGTCAGAACGACGGTGGTGTTCTCAGAAATGTGTTTACTCCTGACCCGTTTGGGCTCAATCAGAATTAAGACCACTTGTCAGCAAAATATGCTTAGGGAAGCAATTCCTTAAGTTGATGGCCTTGGTTTGAAAAAAGTTGAACAAAAGCAGGACAATCAGCAGTGGTGTAGCCTTGACAGGAGGCTGAAGACGATAGATCCTTTTTTTCAGCTTAGTGTGTTGCTGAATCACATACTGTATTGTAAAATGTTTTATGGGTAAAATTCGTGAGAAACAGCCGTCACCCAAAAACCAAAAGGCTACAGGGACTGAACAATATGTTTTATTTTGTCATGTGCATAGGGTTTTTTGTGCCTTAAATGTAAATACGTGTTGTCTGTTGGTTGGATGCTGGGTTGTTTGAGACTTTGAGCGAACTTGTATTTGCGCGGATGTTATATTTAAAAAGTTGTGCTTGTGTGTGCGTGCGTCTCTGTGTGTGCGTGTGTTACATTTCCCATTGCCTAGTCCTTTGTAGCTTGAGATAACTGAGGTTACAGTTCTGGATTACTATTGAACGCAAAAGTTTAAATACCTCTAAATAAAGGGTAAACAACTAGGCACTGGGAACACAACGTTCTTTGAAAGTGCAATATTAATATTCACTCTTTTCTTTAAATCTGTGCTTCTTTGTTTTGCCTGTGATTACTTTGTGATAAATCAGAACTTTGTGTGTTAAAGTATGCAATGCCGACTTAAAGGATTAGTTCAGCCATTTTGATGTTGGGTTCTGTTAATAATCTTGTAGCTGTTACAGGAGTGAGTTTAATTCTGACAGGAATGATGAGCGATGCCTAGTGTGAAGACAATCAGATCCAAAGTGGATTGCTGCTCTAAAACATCTAGTCGCACGTTTCGTAGTGGTATAAATCTTTATAGTGTAATCAGTTTGTAAATATATAAAGAATTCTATAATTATTTGCTAGCACAAACAGCAGCAGCAGCTAGCTGCAGCCAGGGATCACCTCCAGCTGGAGTTTCATAGCTGAAATAACTATAATGCAAAACTGCAGTAAAGAAATACAATAAAAAAGCTGCTATGAAATTCTGAAGATGTTTTTTTAGAAAGCAAAATCCATTTGGAAGTGGATTCATTCAGACATCAACAGAACATCATGACAGTCTGAGGGGAGTTTGTCGTCTAAAAAAACCCAGTTATTTAAACTACCAACTAAGTGTTCATGTGAACGCTGTTTCAGCACAAATCATTTGACATTACCCATATCATTTGGTGGCCTGCATGGTGGGACAGTGCAGCTGTTGCCTCTCAGCAAAAAAGGTTGTGGGATTACCTCCTGGTCTTAGGCCGTTCTGTGTGGAGTTTACTTGTTCGCTCTGTGCACGATGTGGGTTTTCCCCAGTTCTTCAGTTTCCTCCCACAGACCAAAGATCTACATGTCAGGTTAATTGGTGAAACTAAAGTCTGAGTGAGAGTTTGAGTTGTTTGTCTCGTTTGTCACCCCAGTGACTGCTGGAGATAGACACCAGCTCTGCTGTGACCCAGAAAGGAAAAGTGGGTAAAGAAAATGGACAGAATTATTTTAGCAGAAATAAAGTAGTCCCTCGTTTATCGCGGGGATCCGTACCCTGAAGACCCGCGATAAGTGGAAAAACCACGAAGTAGGAATAGTAGTACAAGTATTAAATTGTAGTTTATTATACACTTATATGTTTATATAAGCGTTTTAACCCTTCCCAGACTCTTGCAATATTCTAAACTCTAAAGCTCTAAAAGAGCACAGAATGATTTCAGCTCTCTGCCTCTGCTTTTTGCTACCTGCAAGCGCTCTTGGCCACGCCCACTTCTCTGCTCTGCACGCTGAACAGCTGATCAGCTGATCAGCTGCAGCAGGAAGTTTATGCTAAAGTAAGTGCTGCACAAATGTGCAGCAGGTGATTTAAAATAATTTATTTAAATAAAAAATTCCATGCCAATTGTGCGGTTCATCCATCTATCAGCCAATTGTGTGTCATGTCCAATCTTATTTTGAAAAACCGCGATGGAGCGAATCAGCGATAAACAAACCGTGAAGTAGCGAGGGACTACTGTATAATTAAATTCCTGCTGGAAGTGAGCACAGGCTGCACCGAAAGTGTTAAAGCCAGCAGCTGTTAACATTAGCATGTGCAACTGATCGTAGGAGTGTATCTACTGTAAAAAAGCTTTTTTTTTATGAGAAATTGATGGTGCTTTAATGGTTTGCTATGGTAGTTTGGAGACAAAACATTTTAAGGATGACAATCCATTGTAGTCGTAGCTGCATTCAGGTTAACTTGTCAGTCCTGTCAGAAATTAAGTATTTCTCCAAACAGATTGTTCAAAAACTACAACATCTAAAACAGATAAGATACTCATTTTTCACAACTTCTACACAACCCCCTCCCCCGTTCAAACTGACTGCAATATACAATTTAAACATTTGCAGGTTTCTGGCTTTTCAAGTTACAGCAACTCCCTTTTTTTCACTACTGGCAGAGTAAAACACATTTTTCCTATTTCACATGAACTCATCACTTCACTGGACTGAACCCCCTTCATCATCTCGGCGTGTTTTAAAGCCCAGCCTGAAGCAGAGGCACCGGCACCATCAGCGTCTGAGCTCAGCTCACACGTAGCTTCTCTGTTGTTGCAGCTGTTCAGTCATTTCACAGAACATGTGTAATACACATTTTTTACTTTACCAGACTGGTTTCATGCCCTCCCATCAGAGCATGATTTATTTTCACACAGTCCATAAAACCTCTCATTTGGTTTTGGGCTTGAATCCTTTATCACGCTTATTCTCTGCATGAAAATTCTTTCCTTAACATGTCAGCTCATTATTTATAAAGTCGGGGTCATTTCCCTCCTTGGTTCCATCAGGCAAAGGCACTGGTAATTTTTTTTAAATTTTTTAATTATTATTACTTTAACATGTCTTTGCCCATTTTCATTCTCCAGAACTTTGAAAAAGATGCTGTACATATTTGTGACGAGGAGAGAATTATGAACTGTTTTGTTGTAAATTTTCTCGCCCCATATTGGGGAGGACTTGTTGTGTCAGGTGGATGGTGGCTCTTAGGACATAAAAAAGTGTTGCCTGCTATTGTTTGTACTATAAATAAAAGATTTCCCTTTGTAAAAACCTGTGTGTTCTCATTAAAAATACATAAATGGGAAAATAATTTATTTAGAAAACAAAGTATGAAATTATGTGCATGTCAGTTAGTGGCCTCACTGCCAGAACTTTTATGATACAATATATTACTTTAGAAGAGAAAACACTGGTGCGCAAGAAGCTAAACAAATATTTGTGGCACAGATGTGTCAGTCTCATAAAAACATGGACACCATAGAGTGCAGTACTTTGTACATTTTGTTACAGGGCCTTTTTAAAGGGATGTAACGCTTGTTGGACCACTGCAGTTCAGCACTCTCCATCACGTTCATCTCCTGGAGCATTTCTCTCTGAGGATGGGCCCGTTTAGTTCCTCCTGCATCTTGTTCTGTGATTTACATTTAGTTGTTCTCAGTCTTTTGGCTCGTGAAGGCCAACATCTCAGCATTCCATCGTTCTTGACAGCTGCGTGAGCTTCTTCTGGTTGTCGATCACCTTTAGGTTCTGGATGTAGTGTCGGATGTTGCTGGGAGTGCGCAGAGGAAGGGCGTGTTCTGAGCCTGGTGGAGAGGAGGAAATCTGTTTTAATGTGCATTTTAATGTTGGCAAGGGCAAATCAGAACTAGTGAGACAAAACCAATGAAGAAATGATATCTTTGCAGGGCCTACAGCAAGGTACAACAGTAAATGATGCTACAGCTTACTCGTAGATAAACGTGTAGGACCTTCCAGAAATATCCGATCAGCCAGGCCCCTCTGTGGAGATGAAGGCACTGCAGAGGCGAGAGAGGAGTCCTAAATGTGACAATCAATTTCTTGCAACATGCATATACAATCTGATATTTGCGTATTGCATATAATGGTATAGCATTTTTTAAATGAATATGAACAAATACTCATTTTTGTTTGTTGACATATTTTATTCAGTCCACTGAAACATCCAAACATCTAAAAAGTGGACGTAACATAATTACAGGGGCCGAGATGGGGTAGAGGCAGGACAGCCGACTAGGGACCTGAAAGCCCCAGGTTCAAACCCTAGTCATTGCACATCTCGTGGGGTCTCTGAGCAGCACACTCTATCCCCAGTTGCTCCCCGGATGCCCCCAATAGCTGCCCATTGCACCACCTGGTGGTGGATGGGTTAAATGCAGAGAGACACTTTCACCATTGGGAGCATACAATGATGATAACATATTATTATTATTTGATGTCAGTTTTAATCCTGAAATAAGTCTGACTAGTCGTCACAACCCTTGAGTACACTCAAGAGGATTACTATTTTTCAGAGGTAACCTGGTGTCCCAGAAAAAAAGTTGTTGGTGTGAGCTTCTCTTTAAAAATAGCAATTCTCAAAACACATCACGTTTCTTTGATTGTGTATTGTCTGTCTATGGGTGTGGTTTCTGACATATTTTGATTTAATGTGGTCTTGCTGTGCGAAACCAAAAGGATTTTATAATGTACTTGTTAGGCCACCCAACCAACATCACCACCTGCTGCCACTGTTTCCAAGTCGTGCATGTCTCACTACCATCTTTCCAGTTTCTGTCCATGAGGCTGACACATTGCTTACTTTTAAGATTAGATTAAAGTCTTTCCTTTTTGATAAATCCTATAGCTAGGGTTGGCTTGGGTTTCCTGAGCTATCCCTTAGTTATGCTGCTATAGGCTTAGACTGCTGGTGGACAAACTTGTGACGGTTTTACAGGGCTTCCTATGTTTGGGAATTTTTATTTAGGGGTGCCAGTCAGGTATCCCTCCTGACAAGTAGGATTTTATTGAGTTACTTCCTTTTTTTTTTAAACATATATATAACCCATCACACAAGGACCATAAACTACAAGGTGCAAACCCTGTCAATGACAGAGAATGACAAACAATTTTTTTCACACACAAGACCAACCACAAAACAACAGTTTCAGTTTTGTATTTTCAATGTCCATAAACAAATAAATTCAAATCCCTTCCCCTCAAAAGTGTCCATGATTCTTCCCAGAGCTCACGGGGCAGGTAATGGCTCCCACACAAGGCCATATGATGAAAATCTCTCAGCGGCAGAACCAGGAATCACTTTTCTTCTATTATGAGCAAACTTTTGACTCGATGACGTCACCGGCTTCCGGCACTTCCGTGTTGACATGTCGGAGTGGCAGGACCACAGGAGCGGACGTATTATTATTTTACTGGATTTTTATCAATCCCAAAAACGATGTCTGCGCCCAGGTACACCAAGAACATGAGGGTTAAACAGCCTCAAATTTATTTTAATGACTTTTATAAGCGTCTGTTGGACGGAGGGTGGATGCGGCTGCTGCTCTCGCAGTCCCAAAAGAACTGACATATTTATAAACAGGACATAAATTTGAACAGCTGACAAGTCAAGTGAGTCTATGAGAGACAGGTGTGTTCTGGGCGTGTCTTAACGTGAAATGACAATAGGGGCCGAGGGAGAGGAAAAAAAAGAGTTCAGCCAGCTCTGTGCAACAAGCATGCTGTCACAAACTGACCACATGTCTTCACTGTGCTGCTGTCTTTACTCTGCTCAACTGGTTTTGCATTTGTAATTATTTTTTCTATCCTTAACATGTGATTTTGTCTTTCTTCCAATAGGGGGTACACCTGCACTTACATCTGGACCTACCATTCTGTGTTTGTTCATTTCTCCTTCCTGTCCTCTCAAACCAGCCAGTTTAAGCAGATGGCTGCTCGTCCTGAGCCTGGTTCTGCTGGAGGTTTCTTCCTGTTAAAAGGGAGTTTTTCCTTTCCACCGTTGCCATTGTGCTTGCTCACACCAGCGAGTCTGCTGGTTTCCTTAGACAGAGAACTTTACTACTGGTAACTGGCTTTGTATGTATGTGAATGTTCCTGTTCAGTGCCCTGAGACGACTTGTGTTGTGACTTGGTGCTATATAAATAAACTGAATTGAATTGAATTACCATCTTATAAACCTTGCATTTATTTTATTGCTGCTATCCTTCTGTCACAAACCACTTTTAAATCTTGTCTCTATCCTCTCCCCTACTTGAACTCTATTTCTCACCTGTGACGTGCCCTTGTGTCACTTACTTCCGTGTGTCCAACAAATTTCAGTCAGGTCATCTGGACAGTTTCTTTTTTTTTTTTCTGAAACATTTCACCTTCCATCCAGAAGGCTTCATCAATCAAGGAAACACACAACACAAAACTGATTCTTCCCCCAACAGCTTACTCCAAAGTGGAACAAACCAGTTATGTTGGTGCTAAGATGGTGTCTTTGGCACGCCCCCTCCTCTGGAGCTGGCCCTCTTCCTCGTCGACAGTCATGTCAAACTGGTTCAAAACCAAAAAAGTCCATGGTCAACAATCCAGGTATACAATCCAACAATTTTCAGTCAGGTCATCTGGACAGTTTCTTTTGGTTTTGAACCAGTTTGACATGACTGTCGACGAGGAAGAGGGCCGGCTCCAGAGGAGGGAGCATGCCAAAGACACCATCTTAGCACCAACATGACTGGTTTGTTCCACTTTGGAGAAAGTTGTTTGGGGGATGAATCAGTTTTGTTGTGTGTTTCCTTGACTGATGAAGCCTTCTGGATGGAAGGTGAAACGTTTCAGCAAAAAAAGAAACTGCAGATGACCTGACTGTAAATTGTTGGATTGAATACCTGGATTATTGAGCATGGACTTTTTTGGTTACATCCATGTGTGTTTGTAATTAATGCTTTCTTTTCTCTGCGCAGCTGATTGGCTGATGGTGGCTTAAAAGGACCAAGCTTCGCCTGCTGGATGAGCGAGGGAGGCCAGAGGAGATGCTGGCCCGATGGTTGATGATTCTTGTTCTCCAGCCTCGCTCCAACTCCGGCCACTGATTATTGCACCTCGTCACAGTTGTTGTTGTTTGTTGTTGTTGAGCTATTTGTTTTTGGGACTGGGAGTCACCTGTGTAGTTTAGGTTTTCTGGTCTTTGGTTGTAGGATTAGTCCCTGGGTTATAGGGCGAGGGGAGCGGCCCGAATCTGACGGCCAACTGCTGGTTGGTTCAAGGCTTCTCCCTCTTTTTTGTTTGTTTTAACCAGGCCTCCCCGTCTGCATTTTAGTTCAGTGGATTTAATGACAATTAAAGCTTTGTCAAAAACTGAAAAATCTTCTGGGCTTCATATGTTGTGTGTCCTGGCTTTTCCTAGACTTATGAGGACCATAACATATTTGGGGGCTCATTTAATCCAATCATGTTTCAATAACATTTACTGGGACTCGTTTGGTCCTGGAAATGTTTTGTAACATGTTGGGTGCTCGGTTAGTTCATGGCATGTTTCTAGGCCTGTCCTGTCACTTTTGCTCTTGACAGTTTGTTTGCAGAGTGTCATTTTGAGTGATGTGTTTGGTCACACCCTCTGTTTGTTAGACATGTCAGCGTTTTGTGTCGGGTTGCAGTGGTAACATGTGGCTGCGCAGCTGAAGCGCGGGATTTAAATTTTCCTAAGTCGCGCATTTATTGTGTTTGTGACAGTGCATAATTCTGATTTGGTGTCTTATTAGGAGCGTAATTTCCTCCTCTATTCTCTTGTGTGCTCCACTTCCTGAACAATATGGAGTGCAACATGGAGGATTTTGCAGAGCAGCCAACAACTGACAAATTTGATCGCTCCACAAAACAGCAGCTGTTGTCAATTGCTGCTCATGTTTCTATCTCGGTGTCTAAACAGTTAAATAAGAAGACAATGAAATCTGAGGTTTTCTCTGCTCTGAACAAAGCTGGTGTTTTCCCTCAGATGAGTCCTGGTGCTGTTTCTGAGGCGGTGGAAATTGAAAAATCCACACCTGATGTCCGTGAGCTTGAATTAAAAATTGAACTCCAGTGCCTGGCTCTTAGAGAAAAAGAGCTGGACCTCCGTAAACTGGAGCGTGAAACTCAGAGGGAGGCTCGACTGAAAGAGGTCGAGCTGGGCGCATCACCTGCTCAGTCAGGTTCATCTGAGTTTGAGGTGACCAAGTGCATCCGTCTGATACCACCTTTTTCTGACAAAGATGTGGACAAATATTTTGTTCTGTTCAAAAGGGTGGCTAAAACTTTAAAATGGCCTAAACAGGTGTGGCCTTTATTACTGCAGTGTGTGTTCACAGGTAAAGCTCAGGAGACTTACGCTTCACTGTCACCAGATTTAAGTCTGGATAATGATCATGTGGAAGCAGCTGTTCTCAGGACGTATGAATTGGTGCCAGAGACTTATAGGCAAAAGTTTTGCCATCTGAGGAGAACTGATAATCAAAGTTATGTTGAATTTGCTCATGAAAAAGAAGTGCTTTTTGATCGCTGGTGTTTGGCTCAAGACGTGAAAAGTTTTGATCAATTACGTGAGTTGATCCTAATGGAGGAGTTTAAAAGTTATACACCTGAACAGATTAAAACTTATATTAATGAACAAAAAGTCAAGGAAGTTTCTAAGGCAGCTGTACTTGCAGATGAGTACGCGTTAACTCATAAATATGTTTTTGAGAAGCGTCTCAGGTGGAGCAGCGCAGCGGCCCTGCCGTGCGCTCTGCAGGATCTGACATGAAGCTGGAGCAGACCACGGAAAAAGGAGCGAGTAAGTTCAAGCCAGTTTGAACTTATTGCAAAAAACCTGGTCACATTCAGCCCAACTGCTTTTTGCTTAATAAAAAAAGTGTTTCCTCTAAAGCGGTCGCGCTGGTGAAGACTCCGCCAGTGGCCGTCACCTGCGGTGTCGGTAAAACAGATTTGGATATTTACTCGCCGTTTCTTATGAAGGGCGAGGTCTCTGTAGCAGGT